TGGACTCTAAATGAAAAGTAAATGAGAGAAAGACCAAGAACAACATAAAGAAGGGCAGTTGGGAATGAGATATGACCCATGCGGCAGTCATGGGGATGGCTGACAAGACTGGTCCAAGATAGATGGAAGCAGAAAGACTGTTGTTGCCCTAGATACAACACAGTATAATGACAGATGATGTTATAATATATCGAATCCTCCACATACCTGTGCTGCACAGTCCATTCCGACATTGTACTAGATTTATATCAGCGTCATGAATAAGGATATTTTACTTTCATGAAATAACAGTAGTTTTTCTACTTCCAGTTGTGTCCATGTACACACCGTTGAGAAACCATATATACAAACTTCAAATCAATGATCTAGATATATTCTAATAATTTCCAGTTGTTTGTGTAATTAGATTGCCTTTGACGTCGTTTCAAACAATTAGTAGAACGTGGCTCAATGATTGGACACTGATCTTTAGCCGACAACACCTTTTCTGTCAATCTCCGAATCATATTTCTTCCGGTTTTTCATTATATTTTCACTATTTGTCCATTAGGCAATACTACAGATATCAGAAAATGACCGCTCTATATTTATTTACTTTTTACTTGATAAAAATCATTTTAATCCGAAAACTTTATTTTAAAAATTATTTAAACCCTGGGCCATACGTATTTTCTGCAACCTTTAAAAATATTAAGATATAAGAACCATACTATACTATTCTAACTTGGATTTTCATTACACATATTTTGATATTTAATAAGTATATGTAGGATCATTCAGTTCGACAAAATTTTTCAATGTCCACAAACCTTATGGAAAATCCTCGTATATTATTTTCTATAATTTTTTCCGATCTATTTTAAAAGTCTATATACGAGGGGTTATCAAAAAGTTCGTGGATTGATGCGATAAAATTAATACTATGTTGTCGGTACTTCCAAAATTTATAAGGGACATAAAACAACAGAAGTTTAAGAAGTATTGAAAATTTTAGCTTGATACGTTGATAATTTGCCAAATTATTCGAAAATAAAAAAGACGTGATATGATCACCCGGCGCTATTGCCTTTTAGTTTAATGACGTCCGACAACGTCATTGTTTCTCAATGTCCGCTCTTTCCACCTTGTCCACTCATTTTGATGGCTTTACCTGGAGTTAAGTAAGGACTTAAACCCGTCTTGTTTTTATGACTTTACAACGTCATGAACAGCTGCTTTGAATGCATATAATATAATTGTAAATAGATCTATACATAGGAAAGGATCCTCAATTGATTATGCCATAATACTAAGCTTGTTGGAATTCAATTTCTACCACACATGATCAACGTCACTTTTCGACGTGACTGACTTTTGACACTACTACAAATTAACTGTGCATCTTTCATCTCTCCGAATCTTTTTGAATATTTAAAACTACTACTCTTGATGCATTTTATTTTTCTGTAGCCCGTTTAAACATTCCCTAGGTCTATACTGCTTTTTTTTAAGGTGTGAAACTTTATAGAATGTTGGAAAAAGAAACCACTCTCCCTTTTTGACGTCATTTTTAAGCCCTTAATTGTTTGTAGACTCCATATAAAATTTATACGATGAAATTTCATAGAACTTACAGAATGGAGTAAAAATTGCAAATTTTACGGAACAATTGTGATGTATCACATGCCTGAATTAATGAGATTTTTTGATGACGATTACTCATATCAAAAGAGTTTTTCTCAGTTACACTCAGGTAGAAAAAAACGTCATATTTGAGGTCGCGCCGCCTGGACATATCATTGCTTACAAGAACATTAACAATTTATTAAAAAATAAAACTAATGATTTATGGTTTATTCTGTAGATGGAAAAGATGATGCTCACGAAATGTGATAAAATTCATTGATGTACCTAAAGCGATTTAAATTTTATGGCGCTAGTCCACGAACTTTTTGATAACCCCTCGTACTTACCTTTGTGAAAGTGCTTGACATACTGTTTTTGATACATATTTTGTATTTGCAGGTCCTTTTTGTGATATCTGCTATTGTTGTATGCATACATTCCAATAAGGATAGTACTTGATGACATTTACTCCTCACTATGACATTAGCACTAGTGAAGGAGAAACTTCAAGAATACTGTGCAACAATATAATCGAGCAGTGGTGTAAATCAGATTTGGATACTAAAAAATTCTAAGGAACTTTTAGAACATTTGAAATCACAAAATATTACCTGAATCAACAACATAATATCTTACGACTTTTCAACTTTATATACAACTATTCCACACGATAAATTAAAGTCCAGACTTTCTGACGTCGTTGACAGCTGCTTTTTCAATAAAAATGGATCTCGTTGATTTACTTACCTTGTCATTTGTCATTTACAAAAATTACTTTGTTAAAAAACAAACTGATTGTACACACAAGTACTCTGAAGTTGACATTAAAAAGATGCTCAAGTTTCTGATTGACAATATCTATGTGGTTTTTGGAGACCAGGTCTTCCAACAATCTATTGGAATTCCCATGGGTACCCATTGCGCCCCGTTATTAGCAGACCTATTTTTGTATTCATATGAAGCAGAATTTGTTCAAAATGTTTTACGTGAAAAGAAGAAAACACTTGCTGTTGCTTTCAACTCGACATTAAGATATATCGACGACGTATTGTCAATTAACAATGGTTATTTCCATTCTCATGTCGATACCATATATCCCGGTGAGCTTGAGATAAAAGATACCACAGAGTCTGACACATCTGTTTCATATTTGGATATTTTATTAGAAAAAGACGTAATTGGTAATCTAACAACCAAGCTTTATGATAAACGTGATGACTTTTTAATCGCCAGCTTCTCTTACTTATGCAGCAATATACCTTCATCACCTTCATACGGGGTTTAAATCTATCAGTTGATTCGATACGCAAGAGCATGCTCTACGTATGTACAATTTCTAAAACGAGGTAAATTATTAACAAAGAACTTGATGAAACAAGAATATCAGCAGTCTCGTTTAAAGGCATTATTTCGTAAGTTTTATGGTCGTTACAATGACCTTGTCAGCAAATACAATTTATCATTGAGGCAAATGCTGACCGACTTTTTTAATAATATTTGTTAGGCCATTATTTACACACTGAATTGTCGACGGATTATTTCCCGATCATGACAAGGAGCACACGACGGATATGACCGGTCGGCAGGGGATGATCACTCCTCCATGGCGCCTGATCCCACCTCTAATGTTTTGGAGGTCCGTGTTTGCTCTTCTCCTATTTTGTAATGTTTAATGGACTTTTGAGCTTGAATACTGTTCGTTATCTCCATATGTTTTAATATCCTGCTATTACTTGTGTATTGCGTTTATTTCTCCCAACTTATTCGATACTCAAGAGTATGCTCCGAGTACGTTCATTTTTTTTTTTAAAAAGAGGCAGGCTACTGATAAATAAGTTGATGTTACAGGGATTTCAACAAACTCTTTTAAAGTCAGCAATGCTGTGGTCGTTTAACGACCTTGTTAGCAAATATAACCTATCATTAGGTCGTATTTTGGCTGACTTGTTTCAGCATTTCGTAAATTCTATGGTCGTTAAATTGACTTTATTAGCAAATATAATTTATTACTGTGTCATATGTTTGCTGACTTATTTCATACCAATTGTTAGACATTTGTTTTTGTACTAAGTTTGACTACGGAATGTTCCGCTTACTCGATCAATACATAGGGCTCACGGCGGGTGTGACCGATCAGCAGGGGATGTTCATTTCTCCTACGCAAGTTATCCCACATATACAATTTCCATAAGCCCTGTTCACAGATTTGTATTGCTTGAAGTTTTTATGAGATCTATCAATGTTCATTATCTTTACTTTTTTTCATTTCAGGTTTATCAATAGTAATGCTATCTTGCAGAAAACAAATAAAATCACCTTATGATGTTCTTAAAGGACAAAATAGGTTAAGAGCTCTTTTTGGCCCCTGGTTTGGAGGGTCCTTTAGAATGATGCAACAGTTTATCAATGAAAACTTCTTGTCACCCCTGCCACAAAATTAGTATTGGTTCTAAGTTATGGGATACACATAGGTCACAGGAAGGTCAGAAAATATGCCATTTTCCGAATTTTCTCATTTTTATGCAAATTTTCATTGATTTTACAATACATTTTGTTTCAGAATACATAGAGCACAAGCTTGCCTATCTACCAAATTTATTTATTCCGTGCACTAGTATCAGATGCATCTTATGTATAAAAATCTCAGATAGGCAAGCCTGTGCTCTATGTTTCCCGAAGTGAAAAGTATCTCAAATTTGAAGAAATTCCACCAGAATTGAGGAAATTCGGGAAATTGTCCTACTTTTGCACCCTCTTGTGGCCTTCATGTAAGCTTTAAAATCAAAGTTAGTGCTGGTTTTAAAACAAGCATCATTTTAAGTTCCTAACTACAAACTATCACAATTTTAACTGTGTTCTGATTTTAACATCAAATAAGGGGCCACATACGGCCGTTACCATACGTTGTCCTTACATGATTAGAGAGGTTTACTTGTAAATATTCTACAAAAATCTCATTTACAGAGCAAATTGATATTTTTCCGTGTCCGTGTCAATAGCGTTTTTATTCCCAATGCCCTTCAAAAACGATCACCTTGGTCCTATGCGTATATGAAAGCACCGAAACAGAGATTTAAATTTCCCCATGTTTAGCATTTTGTTTTCAAAATAGTGTACCTTTTTCGGCGTGACTTAACACAACAGAATATTAATGCAAATTCAAGTAACTTTCTGCAGAAAAAGGACTGATTATAAATTGATTAGGTTTTCTTAAAATTTCTTTTTTGTTTCTTCGGGTTCAAATTTTCAAAATGGTGTTTTTCTTTAATATCTTTCAAGTTTGATGTTTGTCGAGCCTAGTTTACAAAAATAAAGTCGAAAAACCCAGGATGTTACAACAGACATGCGCATGTATGTAAAGAAGAGTGTTAAAAGCTGTCAAGAAACGAAAGTCCTATACTAAAAGAAACTGACATAGAATACGGAGGGAATTTTACCAAATCAGGAAATTCCACGGGTAAAGACATTTCTTGATCCATAATAATATTTTTATGAGCTGTAAATTATACTTATAATAGAATATCCTCTTGACTTGTACTTCCTTGTCAATTTGGTTATGTTATTTATAGTGCTTTTTTGCATTTACATGATACGTATTACTCTTCGAATAGTTAGACGGTTATTGAAGGCGGATACTGTTACTTAATATTCACATTAATGTAAGGAAAATCCATTTTCGATAGCAATGATTTAATGTTTTTATTTTCTTTGAATTTTGAAGAGTATATTTTCAAAGTTAAACAATTTCTTTTCTGTTATTATTCTCAATTTGTTGTGTTTAATTAGACTTTTGACAATGATTACTGTTCGAATTCATTTGAATTACATAGAATCAGGCAGGTTACATACATTTAAATAAATAGTTCTTTCAAAGCCAGAAGAACCAAAGTTACCGTTATTAAAAAGGAAACATCCCTATTAAATGCCATACAAAACAGTCCCCCTTAGACGGGTATGCAGAAAGTAGGGTGTAACTTAAAAAAAATCATTTAATAATCCTGATTTAATCCAGATTTTTTTACAGCCATTAAAATTTTCATTTGAAAGGGGAGGGGGGTGCATGTTTACGAGATTCTACCTAGATCTAATCGAACCAGTTTAAGTGCAAAATAGTTCTGAAATACAAGTAATAACACTACATGTAAAAAATAAAATCGGGCTTAATATTGCGGAAGATTTAGAGAGCCTGATATATTAATAATGCACATACTAATAATGAATCAATTTTTTTTGCATACAGATTATAGACATGGCTGTTGGACGTAAATGGAATATCTCGAAGATTTTTCTAATTTGCATTAATGTTGTGTTTCTTGTAAGTATAAATAGAGATGGTACATGTCGTCAATTTTTATACATTTTTTTTCCTTGTTTAATCGTATTTTTGTAAATGTAACGTATATAGACTAGTTTGAAAAATTCGTTATTGGAAGGTCGTGAGTTCGCATATCGGCCGCGACTGACCTAAGTCGATAAGATAAAAAAAAAATAGGTAGCAACTATTCCTTCGCCAAGCGCTCAGCACTTTGAAGTGAAAGTTGCGGGTCCTTCAGATGAGACTTTAAAAACCGAGGCCCCGTGTCACGGCAGGCATTGGCACGGTAAAGATCCCTCACTGCTCAATGGTCCTGAGTGTTAAGTAAAGGTCTAAATTTGAAGCCCTTCACTGGTATATGGTGATGTCTCTATATCAGTGAAAAGTTCTCGAATGGGACGTAAAAAAATCAATAAATACAACTTTTCTTTCAAAACGTTATTATTTTACGTGCTTTTGTCTTTTTACTTAAATATTTAGCATTTGTTATGATTTAAATTTAACTGTTCAATGAAATTACAAAAAAAACCCATCATTTTTGAACGGGAGCAGAAAGAAATTTCATTAGAATGTTTCTAATTCTGAGATAAAAAATCATCAAAATATATAATTTTTCAGTTGCTTGGACTCGGATTTTTAATAATTGGTGCCTTAATTAAATCTGGTTTGTTGCCAATTAAAGATGGAAAGAAAACAGTCCTAAACAGTGTAAAAGTAGGAGACGTTGACTTCGGAAACCTTGCAGACAATTTGTGGATTTTGTTTATCGTCGTTGGAGTGCTTATTTCAGTTGTATCTTTTCTTGGATTATGTGGTGCTTGCAATCAAAATAAAGCACTGCTTACAATAGTGAGTTCTAACAAAATCATTAATAAGCTTTTTGGTAGATCATGATTCCTCATTAACCTAATAGGTCACATCAACCAGCCTAGAGGTATTTTGATATTATTTTGATAAATAAATCCTTAGGGCCAATGATTCAATGAAAACTGCAATGCCCACTTTTTCGCAATGATATCTGAATGAAAGCATAAAATAGTTACATGATAAGATCTCTAATGACCATTAAAGCAAGGTGTCATGATAATCACCTTAAAAGCAAGCAAAAATGATTCATGTACAATTTCTTAACTTTGTAAATTTCCTGTCAAAGTTTTCTTCACCTCTTATTTCTCCTACAAATAAGTAAGAAATATTTTTCTATTAATTTTACAGAATCAAAGATTTGGTATATGCGTTAGTAAACTAGGTACTGTTTTCATTTTAAACTACAGTATGCAGTTTTCATTTTAATGTCATGAATTATTTGTCTTACACAGTTAATGATGAAATGGGCGATGAAATATATCTTTAGTATGACCAAGTATTAATTTAAAACAGCAGCAGTTTTAATAGTTGGTGTTATAAAAGTGTTAACTTTCTTAAATGCATTACAGAATGCAGTCTGGGTAATACTGCATTAGATATTTTTATTGATGATAATAAAATTTGAAGTATTCTTATATCACTATGAAGTTTGAATTGAAATAATTAAAACATGATTTTTTTATTTTACATTACAGTATGCAGTTTTAGTTTTGGCGTTATTAGTGACAAAAATAGCTGGAATTGTCCTGTGGTTCATTATGAAGGATGACGTAAGTTAATGTTTACTAAAAACTGCAGTTATATTCACATGATTTAAGTGTGTTAAAGAAAAATAAACCTACAAAATATTTGTAGTTGTAATATACGTATATCTATCTTTCCTATTCTAGTAGCCTAAAAAAGTAATTAAAAGCTAGTGAAACTTTTTAAAAATGCCATATTGTATTACTCTATAAATAAATTGTTATCGTATCAAAGTTCAACTTTAATCTTGTGTATCATTTAGTGTACATAGTCATTACAGGAGTACGTTTTCTGTAATCTGTTTTTTTATAATCATCAAAACTGTTTTGCTGAGGAAAATATCAAACTTGCAATGCAACAAGGTTTCTTTGAAAACCAGATCAATTTTACTTTTGGTGAGAACAAAAGATCGATGTCTGAAAAAAAACCCAACCTAAATTCAAATAGTAAAAGGGAAGGAGTAAGAACCTTAACTTTCGTTGTTGTCCGACAATGATAATTAAAAAAAATATTTACATTTGCCAGTGTCTTTCCTTATATGAAATACAAATTAAACTGACATTCAATTTTCAATGACATGAAGTCGGTCACGTGATCGGAATTCCTTGCGTATGGAAAGCAAACATCACGAGACATTTGGAGGGTTTAAATTGTGATGTCGCATGGTGTTGAACATGTATGTTCTGTTACATTTTCATAACAAAGTCTAATAGTACATTTTGTCTTTGTAATACGAATTAAAATAAAAATATAAATATAAGAAATAAGATATCATTTTTAGAGTTTCATTGGGATATGACATGAAGTTGGTACGTGATCAAATCTACTAAAACGCCCTTCGGGCGTTATAGGATTTGATCACATGACCAACTTCATGTCATATCCCAATGAAATTCTAAAAATGATATCTTATTTCTTAAATGCATATTGTACCTGAGTCTATATGTAAATGGTATGTAAAATGTAAATGTTTCTTTTAATGAATAAGAACAGGAAATGAAATTATTTACGATGTAAGAAATACTACTGTAGACTTGATAATTACATTTAAATCAACATTCATCATATTTAGTTTTGAGGGGGCGGGGTTGGGGAGTTGGGGTCTTGATGAAAAGTATTTGAATATGTTATTTGTAAACATGAAACTTTTGATTTTACCCTTGGAATATCTTTACAGAACATTACTATATTTTCTGTCTCAAAGAAAGAGGGAGGTTAATTTATTTCAGCGTTATTCCATACACACTAATTAAGATTGATTAACTACACCAATTTTTACAGATTGAGTCAGATTTCAAAGCTCAGTTGGTTCAAAATCTCCATACAAACTTTGTGAATGATTCAATAAGTGATGGAAATGACATCTCAAATGAGTGGAACATGATGTTTATGTCTGTAAGTATGTATTATATTTTTTGTATTTTGTGGTTTAAACATACATAAATGTTGAATCTTTTAAAATTAGATTAGTTTCATTTAAATCATAAATAGAAATCAGTATGTTTCTTTCTTATTCAATGTTTGGGAAAAATATTTAAACGTACTTTGATTATCCTATTACAATGAAATAATCCACCAACGTGACCGATTTCAAACTTTAGTAGTAAAAAAACCCAAAATGTAGAATTAAGCATGCTTTAAGAATAAATGTCTTTGCTAGCTCACGTACTCATACCTATTTAAATGATTGCAGTTGGACTGTTGTGCGGTAAATCCCGTGAATTCAACTACAAATGAATTTGATAATACCCCTTGGTGCACTACCAAAGGAGAATGTCAATTGACGAATGCTGAGATCCCCAAGGCGTGTTGTGTTGGAGTCACAGAAACTAATTTTACTTCTGCACCATCTTCATGTTACTACAACCTTACTCCTGGATCATATAACACAAAGGTTCTACACTCAGTCAAACACTATAATGAGAACAAACAGTGATTAATAGCACAAATCCTGTAAACAGTAGGAATCGTGAACAAGGCAAATACACGGAACAGTCATTTTCCCCCTAGGCTTTTGGTGTTATATATACATTGCAGCACGTATTATACATGTATAACCTGTTTGCAACCCACTGTGTTTTCCTTCTATAATATTATTAACTTTATGGGACACAGTCTTTCAAATTCAATCTATCTCTTTCTCTCTTTCTATATATATCTATGTTGCCCCATACCATGGTAATACAGGAACGGTGTATTCGAAAGCGGACAAGTAAAGGATATAGGTTTCGCCGACAAAGAGAGATAACTATTAAGAATGTGAAAGTCGTCTAGGTGGCAGGGGATAGCTGCTTACTATAGTACCGTCAAATTTCTTAAAAACTAAGATATTCCTGTTTGATGTGATTTCTTATGTAGGAAAATGAATAGAATAATTATGAGGTAAATGTAGTGTAGGAGAGTATGATGTGCAACATATAGGTGTCACTATGATGCTTAGTATGCACAGAGTTGTAAATGCAAAACTAAGACACGTGGTCAGTTGCAGAGGAAATTCAGCTGAAAAGCAGAAGCGCTTAGAAGAAGGTGTGTATCTCAGAGGGGGGGGGGGGGGTGAATGGGCCCAGACCAATCGTTGAATATTCATTAGGGCATGCATTGATCTACAGAATACAGGGTGTTTTATCCCCCTCGCACGGGACTGAGATGGGCTGTATGGGTGCGACTGAGGCCCAGATCTTGGAAAAAGAAGCCAAAATCTGGGAAGGCCCCCAAATGCATTTTCGGTATAAGTTCAGTCTAATATGTAGATTACATGTTATATGTTAACATATTCTTTCTTGATTTTTTGTAGTGCTAGATTTTTTGTTTATATTCTTTTGTCCTTTCATGACTTTTTAACCTTTTCTATGTTCTGAGGAAGGGAGAGGGCGTCCCGAAAATTTGATAATTTTTATTGTTCGTGTCGATGGTCATTTTTAGTGTTATCTATCTATATATATATATATATATATATATATATATATATATATATATATATATATATATATATATATATATATATATATATATATATATATATATATATATATATATATATATATTTCTAATAGGGATGTTACCAAGCGATGAAAGATTATTTGAAGGAAAATATCACATCTAAAACTCCTATTGTTATTGCGGTTGGGATCGTAATTTTCCTTGTTGAGGTAATGTAGTTTAAAAATTATTCATATATGTTTCAAGCCTATGCATAATTGCTATGCGTGCGTTACTAAGATGAGATATGATCACTTTGAGATTCTCAGTGATCATAAATAAAAATCATAAAATCATAAATAAATCTCCTTTGTGTGATTATTTTGCAAACGTTTCATTTAGCAATTGGATATATATACCAATTCCATAATGTGTCCGTAGTATTTATTGAATTCTATACGTTTTGGAATGTGACGGATTTTGCCCTTCATTTCTTGATGTATCGTTTTATTTTTCAGGTTCTTTCAGTGATATCTGCTATAAGTGTATTACGCAGGCAATCCGTCAAGGATTAAGAAGGGTGATTGGTATATTTGACATACAAATGTTATCTATAAGCTTACTTTTGCATGCAAAAGATGATAATAGATTTTGGATAAATTAATACTGAATAATATGCCTTAAAAAGATTACTATCTATAAGGCCCTTTTCCGGCCAACGGTAAAATCAGTTTAAAATGTAGTTTTTTTGTAATTCAAATTCCTATGTTTTATGATGTTACCGTTTGTTTTTCAACGCCACTAAAGTTTGTCACGTGATTTAGCGATTCAGAAGTGGCGATCAAATAAAGAAAAAATGAGGGTCGTTCTACTGAAGTCAAGTTTACATGCATGCTTTAAAATTTTCATAGGTCAAAAACATATCATGTTAAAATAACATCTTTAAAAATGTCTTAAGAAGTAAATTAATTTTGAATAATTAATGAATTCTGTTGCATTTACATTTTCCATATCTGAAATGTACATTTTTACAAAATGCACATCATATGACGCTAATAGATGTCAAAATATTATTTATCTTGATTAATTATTTCATATAAGTGGATACTGTTGCATGTATTGTCTATTTTTTTTTATATATGCTGTTTTTTTGCAAGAAGATACCCATATAAGAAATGTGTTATCAATTTTATTTTACATTGAACTATCAAAGATGTGTATCAATGCTATACCATTAAGCTAATTTTGTTTGTGATTGAATAAACATTAAGTTATTAATAAATACAAAAACACTTTTAACTTTGGAAAAATAATCAATCCATTAACATACAGGATGACAACATAATGGAAGCACATGTTCACTTATCATATGAGCAGTCAGTTTATAAAACTCAGAACAATTATGTTAAGAATATATTGGTACATAAAATGAGAGAAATGCTTTGCCTTTTTTTAAATTACACATGTAAAATATCAGTTTATTTAATTAAAAGGAAATACTATCTAAAATGTAATACACATATGCCATATATATATCAAAGCGAAATCTCTGCTTCCTCCCTCCTTCATCAGCTCTCTCTCCAAAAAAACTGACAGCTAGGATCTTCAACAGCTTCTTAGAATACTCATATAAGGAGTTTTAGAATACTTTTGGTCTGACAGATATCTTCAATATCATATGTTCACAAGAATCCTACCGCTTGCGGTGGTATAGCATTAGGGTGCTAGCTTAGTGACCCGGAGGACAAAAATTTCAAGTCTCGCAAAACCATGGCGTTTATCATGGATAAAAATAAAAATGAAAGTCGAGGATCTTTTGGATGTTAACTTACTATCGTAGGAGGAGAAACTTTGAAACTTTTTTTGACGTTAGAGTATTGATAGCCCTCAAATTCCTCATGAAAAATGCTTACTTGAGGAAAAAAAAATTTGAATATACAAGAAATATTGCTTTTTGATTTCAAAGAAGAATTGTTCTGAATAAATTATAAGAATGTGAATTTCATCGTGATCAGAATGGCTGACTTTTTTCCTTTAGGTTTTCGAATTCATTTTTCAAGGTTAAAACTTACATATTTATTAAGTTTATTGCCTTTAGATAGGTTAAAATATATTACTTGTAACAAGCGTGATAACAAGCGTGATAAATCTGTCTACCTTATCAACGTGACATGCTGTGCGTTGGGTCGATAAAGATAAATCATGTTTGTTTAAAATTAAGTGACAAGGTGCATGCTGTTTTATTCCAAAGATTTTTAAACATTCAGTGAGAATTCACTAAATGAATAAAAAAAAAGCCGGAAGAAACATATGTCTTGCCGATAGGGTGGCGTTTAGCATCCTGAAAATCTTTGATATCAACAGGTCATTTTGAAATTGTTTTAAAGCTAAACTTTGATTGGTCTTCAATAAGAAATGTTGCTCCCTGAAGAAGAATGTACATTAATCATGTTATTATTATCATCTGTGTAGTTAAATTCTATGTAACTCTGCAAAAAATATAAGAAGCATAGAATATAATAGGTGTAAAATTGTAAATAAAAATATTATATAAAATCTTAATTTTCATAAAAATGTACACGGTTAAAAGTATGTATTCCAAAAGAGAATTGTGTTTGATTAATTAATGTTGTTATACAGTATAGGCTATGTTTGCTGCCCAATCCCATTCACTTTTTCTGAATAAAATTATGTATAAATAAAAAAAAGAAAATTGCGTGTACGATGGTTGTTCGGAAAGTTCGTAGACTAGCGCCATAAAATTAAAACCGCTTAAGATACATCAATGAATTTTTTTAACGTTTAATGAGCACCATCTTTTTTATTTATATAGTAAACTATACATCATTGCTTATATTTGTTGGTAAATTGTTGATGTTTTTGAAAGCAGTGGTATGTCCAGGCGATGCAACCTCGAAGATTACGTTTTTTCTACCTAAGTGTAACTGAGAAAAACTCTTTTTTGACATGAACATTTGTCATCCAAAAATGCCGTTAATTCACTTATGTTGTATGACATAATTGTACCATAAAATTTGTAATTTTTACCCCATTCTGTACGTTCTATGAAATTTATCTTAAATTTCCAAAGAATAAAGGGGATGTATTGACTTAAGAAAGGCTGCTGGGTTTCTTTTTCCAACATTCTATATAGTTTCACCCCCCAGAGAAACTGGCAAAGACCTAGGAACTATTTAAATGTTCTAATGAAAAATAAAATGCATTCAGGGTACTTGTTTTTAAATGCCAAATAAAGATTGGAGAGACGAGAGATGTAAAAGTTAATGTCAATTTGTAGAAAGGGCTTTCAAGGTTTGTCACGTCGAAAAGTGACGTTCATCATGTGTGATAGGTGTTGAACTCCGAAAAGCGAATATGCTTTTATAATCAAGCTAGGATCTTTCACTAATTGTATAGATCTATTTACAATACTATATGCATTAAAATCAGCTGTTCATGACATTGTAAAATCATATAAAAAAGACGAGCTTAAATCTTTATCTAACTCCAAGGAATCTTATCAAGATAAGTGTTTGAGGTAGAGAATGCTGACATTGAGAAACAATGACATCATGAAACTAAATGGCGACAGCGCCGGTAGACCATATAATGTTATGATAATTTGGTAAATACTCAAGGTATCAAGCTAAAATTTTCAACATTTCTTTATCTTTTGTTGTTTTATGCTCCTTAAAAATTTTGTAAGCATAAACTATATAGTATTAATTTTATCGCATCAGTCCACGGACTTTCCGAACAACCCTCGTATATTCTCCGTTGTTTTTCAATATCAATGACTGAACAAGAGGCCCAAGGGCCACATCGCTCACCTGAGCACTGTGGCTAGGAAAAAAGGAAAAATCAGTTTAGTATTAAAAAGCTTAAATGCATAAGTGGTCCCAACCTACCCCTAAAAAGGGAGTAGGGGGGGGGGGGGTCATGATTTGAACAAACTTGAATCTACACTATATGAGGATGCTTCCGTATAAATATGACAAACCGTGGCTCTGCTGTTCTTGAGATTTTTAAAGATTTTTCCTATATATTCCTATGTAAAACTTTGATCATTCATTGTGGCCCCGCCCTACCCCCGGGGGTCATGATGTGAACAAACTTGAATCTACACCACCTGAGGATGCTTCCATATAAATATGACCAATCATAGCTTTGCTGTTCTTGAGAAGAAGATTTTTGAAGATTTTTCCTATATATTCCTATGTAAAACTTTGATCATCCAATGTGGCCCCACCCAACCCCCGGGGGTCATGATTTGAACAAACTTGAATCTACACCACCTGAGGATGCTTCCAAATAAATATGACCAATCATAGCTTTGCTGTTCTTGAGAAGAAGATTTTTGAAGATTTTTCCTATGTACACCTACATATATGTTAAACTGATCGTCCATTTTGGCCCCACCCTACCCCCGGGGGTCATGATTTGAACAAACTTGAATCTACACCACCTGAGGATGCTTCCATATAAATATGACCAATCATAGCTTTGCTGTTCTTGAGAAGAAGATTTTTGAAGATTTTTCCTATGTACACCTATGTTAAACATTGATCGTCCATTGTGGCCCCACCCTACCCCCGGGGGTCATGATTTGAACAAACTTGAATCTACACCACCTGAGGATGCTTCCATATAAATATGACCAATCATAGCTTTGCTGTTCTTGAGAAGAAGATTTTTGAAGATTTTTCCTATATATTCCTATGTAAAACTTTGATCGTCCAATGTGGCCCCACCCTATCCCCGGGGGTCATGATTTGAACAAACTTGAATCTACACTACCTGAGGATAATTCCACATGAGTTTCATCTTTCCTGGCCCACTGGTTCTTGAGAAGAAGATTTTTCAATAATGCCATTACTTTTTTGCTATTTCGTAATTATCTCCCCTTGGAGGAGGGCGTGGCCCTTCATTTGAACAAACTTGAAACCCCTTCACCCAAGGATACTTTGTGCCAAGTTTGATTGAAATTGGCCCAGTAGTTCTGGAGAAGAAGATGAAAATGTGAAAAGTTTACGACAACAACGACGCCGACGACGCCGCCGCCGACGACAGACAACGGACAAATTTTGATCAGAAAAGCTCACTTGAGCCTTCGGCTCAGGTGAGCTAATAAAGTCAGAGAAAAAATGACGGTTAAAATATCGTTTTTTATAATTGTGTTGCTTATTCGCTCATCAATATGTAGTTATTGTAGCCTGGGGTATAAGAGGTTGATCTCTCATCAATTTACTTTAGAGAACGTGTTAAGATTGAATTTTCCCTACTTTTATTTATCATTTATTGCCAAGAAAAATCCGGCATTACGTAAAAAGTTAAAGATACCTCCATACACAAATAACCAAATTCTACACAATGTGTCAGCTAGAGTTTTTATTTTTTCTCCTGAATCACATATTTTCTATTTTCACATTAGTGGTATACTTTTTATAGATTTAGTCTTATGTTTGCTAAATGTCAACAATTTTACTGCGATCACAATAAAGATAATTTAGGGTTCATATTCTTCTAATTTACATTTGGTATTGTTTTTCGAAGTTTTTCAAATGTATACACTGAGTTTAAAATAAAAAAAACCTTTTTGTTTGGGTAATTTTTCACTTTGATCAATCTTCTTTCTTCTTTATCCTTTTCTTTGATTCTCTCCGAGAGAAATGAATTGTAATCGTAGTAACAGAAAAAAAAAGAACTATATGTATTTTTCTTTGAAATTCTACTCGTGAAAGTGTCGGATTTAAAGGTGTGTGTGTGTGTGTGGGGGGGGGGGGTACTCGTTGCGCCCACTGAAATTTTAAAAATTAAGATAAATCATGGTTTCTTTGTTATTTCAATCCCTACAACTTCTTCACTTCTAGCGACACCCCTAACAATGGTTTTACTGTAACTAGAAGGCTTATTTTAGAATTGCATCAATTCTAAAAATTACGTAAAACCAAAACCAAAAAAAAAAAAATGTCTCATTGAAATTAGGGGTTTCGTTTCCGAGTATATGTGGTAATGTCTCGCCCTTACAATAAAGAAATATATAGGCCTTGGATCAGAACTCAAAGCATGGAGGATTATTGGTCGTCGCGACTAAAATCAATAATCAATTCCAGTGGTGAATTAAATAGTTCTCAATTATACATAAGCACTAGACATGAACATGTAATTGTGTATTCCATACGTCGTAACCTAGATTCGGTTTACAATCTGAGATATGTCTTAGAGCCGTCTTTAGATATGTGATAAGACATATCTTAAGAGAAATCTTAGGATACCTTCATAAACATGCCCAAGGAACTTTGGCTTCCGATAAGGCTTCGCCCTTGGACCCACTAGTGCCCTCAACACGCCCCCTTTCCCTAAGACAAAGTGCCTCATACGTCCAACATTGTTTCGGTTTACATCCTAAGATATGTCTTAGAGTATATGTGATAAGACGTATCTTGATAGAATTTGAAAAACAGTAGTCGATCTCAAAACATCTACAAACAATACAAATTTGTAAACAGAGCATAAAACACGGACTCCAGGAAATTCCAGAGGTGAGATCAGGTGCCTAGGAGGAGGAATCATCCCTGTTTTACCGGTCTCATCCGCCGTGAGCCCTATGCATTGATCCAGTATACGGAACATTCCGTGGACAAATGGAGTACAAAAAACAAAGGCCTTACATATGGTATGATCTGCCAAAATATAACCAATAAAAAGTAATATTTGTTGACAGGGTCATTAGACCATATGATTTACGAAATGCTGACTTTGAACGAGGCTATTGAAATATTTGTAACATCAACTTATCTGTCAGTAGCCTGCCTCGGTTTAAAAATTGATCGTACTTAGAGCATACATTTGATTATCGAATAAGTTGGCAGACATAAACACCATATACCTGTGATAGCGCAATGTTTCTGCATAAATACGGAAATGTGATGATACTTTATACCCTCGTATTTCTTACGCTAACAAATGAGTTGTACAGTTAGTATTCTCGTAGAAAAACTGTATGCTATTAAATTAATAATTTTTAGCACTGCTGAATTGTGGAAAAGACACCCCCCACTCCCTACACGACCCCTTTTATGTTAATAAATCAAAAATTTAACAATGAGGGAGGTTTACTTGTAAGAAAATATTTGATGTTTTCTTTCTGTCAAGTGCAAATCATTCTTTATCGCGTCCAAGTTGTGTTATTTTCAGAGTGAAGAATGAGGCCCACTCAGTAATGGCTTTAATCTTGTGCGTAGGTAAAAAACGAAAGTGAACTTAACAAAAGCGTAGTGTTTGTTTTGAGATAATTGAAACGGTGCTAACTTATTGGAGTTGTTTAACGCAGCAGTATATTGATTAATGCATCTTTGCATGCATTTCTGTAGTACAAGGATCGATAACAAATTTTATAACTTAATAGTAATATCCGTTTTGTTTCCTCGAATTCAAATTGTTATAAGCGTGAAAGTTATATTTCTCCTTAAATTTCTAAGGTTGATTTCAGCCTAGCCCTAATGACAAAAGTAATGGTTGGAAAATCGGAGTGTTACGTTAACGTACTTGTGCAGACTTGTGAAAATAAATAAAAGGGCTTTACAGACTGTTTAGAAGCGTAAGTTTAATTATAAAATTTATGCAAGAACTAGAAGGAATTTATAAAAACCATGTTTCCTTTTAATAATGCATGTCTTTGAAAAATGTTAATTGTAACAATAACAATAATAGCCTATATACGCTGAAATGGAAATTCTTTTTCATGTTAATCAATATATATTATTTATGAGGATTTTTTTGTACTCCCATGATACAAATCTTCAAAAAGTTAGAGAGTGGTTATACTGACGTAAGTTTATTTGTGACCATATTCTTTACATTTTATATTTTTGATGACAATTTTATTTTCTTTTTGAACTTATTATTACATATTTTCAATATTAATCACTTGTATTCCTTTCATACCTTCTTATAACATGTATAATTTTAATATCTGTTTTTACGCATCAATAAAATGAGTGATGTTCACAATTTTTGGTCATAAGCAGCCTATAACTAAGTTAGGAATTTATCTGAAAATGTCCATATATAGCAATCTATTATTATAATGAAGAGCCAGGATATATATATATATATATATATATATATATATATATATATATATATATATATATATATATATATATATATATATATATATATATATATATATACATATACACTTGTCTGAATTTCTACTATTGCTATCCTTAAATCGGACATGGACTCTTAATTTTAGGGAAGTAAGTTTTTATATTAAAAAAAGAACTCAAAAAACTCAAAAAAAAAAAAAAAAAAAAAAAAAACCCTCTTAAATGTTTTTAGTACAAATATCATTTCTGCTTGAACTTTCAGTAAGGCGTGATATTCTCGGCTTTATATAATTAGCGTCTCTCAAATAGTGACCTAGATTCTCATTCATCTCATAACATAATGAACTACTACATATACTTATGCTATAAAAAAACTGATTTGAGTTTTCACTAATGATATATGTTACGTAAGTTATAAAATAATGACAATATCATTTTAATAATAACCTTCACAGTTGCAATAGTAACACAGTGTGCATGAAACAAGTCAGTCAAAAAATGACATAATGATAGGTTATGTTTGCTTACAAGGTCATTATAACGACCATTGAATTTACGAAATGCCCACTTTAAATGAGATTGTTGAAATCCCAGTAAAATCAACAAATCTGCCAATAGCCAGCCTCGGTTTAAAAATTGAGTGTACTCAGAACATGCTCTTCAGTATCGAATAGATTGTATAAACGTAAAATCCATATGCAGGTGATAGTGAAATATTTCTATATAAATAAGTGAAGCTGACGATGGAAAATCTACGAAAGCCCAGAAGGCTCATTCGAGATTCGAGTTTCGAAATACGAGATTCAAAATTCGAAATTCGAGATTCAATATCTAAACTGACCAATCAAAATGCTCAATAGACAATGGGTAAAATATTAACCAATCGGGTTTTATCTTTTATTTCGTTGATACAAATCACAGCAATATGGATGCAAAACGGATGACAGTAAGCGGAAAAGGAAAGGAATATACATTCATTATCTTGAATGATGCATTTACTCTTGAGGAATTAGGTAAGAAAACTGTTTGTGATCATTGTAAATAATATTCGCTATGCAGAACTGACCAAACCAATTAGGCTACTAAGCCTAAAATATTTCCAAGGAAGGGTGTCGATCCTATTTTCCCGCGCACAATGTTAACACATAACACGTGCTAGGGTGATTGTCAGAATGTATTGTGTGTTTTCACTTTTATTGGGTCCTACACTCCTCAAATGTCTTAATCATCATATTGACTTCAAAAACAGCAAAAAGATTCATTGATTAAATAAATTATATTACAAACTCATTAAGCAATCCATGCATATGTCATCTTGCTTGTTTATTTTTGAGAGGGGAAGGGGGGAGGAGTCAGAAAAAAAAGGACAACTCACATGAAAAAATTCTTCAACTATAGACCCCCCCCCCCCCCAGTGGAAAATTCTCCCTTCTTCAAATTTTATTTGAAAGGGGGGGGGGGGCTTCAATGAAAATTTTTATAATTCAAAGTAAGAGTTTACATTAACAAAAAAAGTGTGGGAAGGGGGAGGCCCTTGGCACCCCCTTCAATCCTATCCCTCAATCACCCCAGATTCTGTGTACTTGATTGTTATGGTCACCTGAGTGGAAGTCAAGTGCAAGTGAAATAACTTTCCAGAACTATCTGTATCAATTTGGACTTTCCTATTCTATTTTTAGTCCAATGTAGAATTTAGATTTACCTTGAAGGTCATGTGCAGGTGAATATAAGGTAGTATTTTCCTACAATGTTTGATCTCAGCCAATTAGAGAGAAAATAATAATGTAATCATATAATAATTATATTAACTACCATTATAATTTATAGTGTTAAAATAAATCTGTGTGAATAATTGAAATCACTATGGCTTAATATACTGAGCATCAAATTAAAATAAAATTACAGGAAAGGAATCAATTTACACCTGCCCTCCCCCACCCCTATGACACCTCACTGAAATGAAAGATAAATATTGCTAAATGCTGATTATTATGCTGATGAAAAATGACAGTCAACATTAACAAATATGTACATGTACTTGTCCATCTGACAACAAATTTTACTTGTCCAAATTAATTTTTTATTTTTCCAACTCTGAACAGGTATTTAAAAAACTGGAAATATCAAGAATTATAAAGATTTGATTAATTGTGAAAACAATAAACAAATATATAGTGAGGTGCAATTATAACTGAACCCTCAATATTAAGATTATAACTATTCATATATTATGATAAGTTTGTGATTGAAATGAAAAGTCACAGTGTTAAATGAATGTCGGTTTTTTAAAAGTACTGTAAACATATTTCTTTTGGCTGTGAATTAAATTCTTTTTAGGGCCTTTGGCGGAAATCAACTTCCGCTAATTTAAGTACAGTTCATTAAATGTCTAGCACATAAACACATAAATAAGAACACTAAGAAAGGCGCTAAGTCAAATCTTTGGTAACTTGTTCAAAAATCAACTTCCACAAATATCGTACATGCTAAGTATAATACATTTACAGTATATTCTCAACATTGTTTAATTATAATCATGATAATAATTAGTGGTGTTCCAATCATTGATTATAATTGAAAATCAGTCGATTGCTGGCATAATCTAAGCGCTTGATTACAAAATTATTATTCTAATCAATCGTTTTTGTTTTGTTTTTTTAAATTTTACGAGCGTAATAGTTTTTAAGCCGCATATTCCAGCTGTGACTTATTTATTAACTTATTTGTGTAGGTGGCAGGGGATAGTTTCTTTAAAAACTGAGATATATCCCCTGTTTGATGTGGTATTTTATGTGGAAAAATGACAAGAATAACTATGGGATACATTTGCAGTGTAGCAGAGTGCTTGCTGAAAAAAATGATGTGCAACATGTAGGTGTAACTGTGAAGCTTAGCATATGCAGAGTTGTAAATGCGAAATTAAGACACATGGTCAGTTGCAGAGGAAATTCAGCTGAAAAACAGTAGGGTTTAGAAAAAGGTGTGTATCTCCGAGGGAAGGTGAATGGCCCCAGATCAATTGGTAAATTTTTCATTAGGGCATGCATTGATTTACAGAATACTGGGTGTTTTATCCTCCTCGCTCGGGACTGGGGTTGGGCTGTATGGGTGCGACTGAGGCCCAAATCTTGGAAAAACAAGCCAAAATTTGGGGAGTCCCCAAGTGCATTTTCAGTACATGTGCACTCTAATAAGTAGATTGCGTGTTATATGTTGACATAATTTGTGAGCTGTAGGTACATGAAGCGTAATTAATTAGCCCCCAGGAAACTGTTCCCATGTACCGGGGTATATATTTTTATTGACCGCATGTATATGTGTACCCTCTCGGCACATGATAATTTGGCAATAAAAGAAACTATCCCCTGCCTCCTGTATCGTAATGGCGCAGACAAATGTATTCATACCTGGGTACATGTAACAACGCTCATTCCCGGGTATGTACGTACTTTGGATTCTACAAAATGAACGAAGAACCAGCTGGACCACCACAGAGAGTAGTTATTTATGCATGCATTCTTACCATTTAATAAACTAAATTGTCAGACTTTGTACATATGTAAATGTCCGATTATAATGTATAGTTATAGTTACAGTAGCCTGATCATCAATTATGAAATACTTACCAATTCCCATCACTAATAATAATTTAAAAGTGTTTAAAATTGTCTGATCAGACAAGAACCTCCAGATTGACTAATGTCCACTCACAAAATATTAATAACACAGATAGTTGGACAACGTCACAAGTGTTGATGTTGAGTCCTGCTATGAGCAAGTGAGTAGCAATTAATGCATATGTATTATATGTGACAGTGTATACATATATGCTGTAGCAGCTGCAATAATGTAACCCTCTTCATTTTTTATAATCTCCCCCTCCCCCCCATCCACTAAAAAAAATATGGTGAGGGCTACATTATTGCAGCTAGTAGTGTAGGAGATACAAAGTGACTAGCCTGTTTTTAATTTATTAAATTTATCATGTTTATAATAATGTTATTATTCTTCACACTTCAATACACATTTCAAATTCAACAGTCCAATTGTCTTCAAGCTAGTGAATAACTTCTGGAGTTATGTGTAGTGACTGTTTATAAATATATATTAATTAATATTTTGAACTTGACAGCTTAAAATTGATATTATCTTTTTCTACAGCTCAGGCTTTTCCCGGTGCCACGTCATTAGCATATGAGGATGCCCTTGAAAAAGTTATAATTCCTAATAAGGATGGAATATTTAGAACTCCAGAAGATGGATGGGACAAAAGAGAAAGAAAATATTTTGTAGTTGAAGGTTATTATATTATATACATGTATTTAAAATATCATTTCTGATGAAAATTTTGTCTTTCATCAGTCAGTTGATTCTAAACTAGTTATTTTCAATCCACCTGACAGTGTATGTGAATATCGACATATGTAGTGTACTTTCCAATCAGTGAAACATGTATACAATAAAGTACACATAATTCAAAAGTACAATATTTATCGCACTAATAATACTATATGATTATTCATACAGACATAAATACAAACAATAAAATTTCTTTCTATGTTTGATAGTGTGGAAATTCATGGTTGCAGCTATAACGGCTATTGCAGAAAAAAATTGCATGTATATTTTTCCTGGAATAGCTACAACTTTAATGAATTTCCACACTAACAAACAAAAAGAAGCAAATTTAGCCCACCTTAGCTGAAAGTGAGCTTATCTGATCACAATTTATCTGGCGTGCGTCTTTAATATACTTTTGACATTTTTGACTTCATTGATCTCCATAATCATGGGGCCAATTTCAACCAAACTTGTCATAAAGTACATATCCTTGGCTAAATGAGATTCATTAGTTTATACAAATGAAGGGTCATGAGGAAGGGGAGAGATAATCAAGAATGAAAATTTAATGGCATTTACTCAAAAATCTTAAGAACCACTAGCTGGACTAGAAAAGATGAATCTTGTGTGAGAGCTTCATTACATAGTGTACGTAGATTCAAGTTTGTTAACTGCATAACCCCTGTGGATGGGTGGGGCCACAATAGGCAATTCAAGTATTTTATAGAAATATGTAGGAGAAATCTTAAAATTCTCAGATTTGTCAATGAAGTGGAAGCATCCTCAGACAGTGTAGATTCAAGTCTGTTCAAAAGATGACCACTGAGGGTAAGGATGGGGCCCAATACTTGATCAAAGTTTTATAGGAATTTATAGTGGGAAAAAATATCCTGATGAAGAACCAAGCAGGACCATGCATTGTCACTCAGGTGATCGTTGATACCCATTAGCCTTTTATCATTAATTTTTTTTTACTTCTATAATATGTGTACCTTACTGTATACATGTTTCAAAAAATTTTGAATGAAAAATTTGTTTGCACAATTTATTTTTATTTTTGAAAAGGTAAGGAAGGAGAGCCTACACGAGATGAAAGAATAAAAGATATAATGAAAAAAATCAGAGAACAAAAATCACATCCACAACCACAAAAGGTAACTTTTAACATTGTAACATTGTACATGCATAAATGTAGACCTTCATTGGCTATTAATACCATTACCATTGATGTTATTGAAAGGTAAACAAGCAGGGTTCATGTTGAAGTAATTACTAGCTAATTCATTTAATTATAGCTTCATGCTTTCATATACATTTGACGTGAGTAATATGATATACTGAATAGAATTCTTTGGTTTCAGTCGAATAAAAAACTACCATGTCAATTATACATGAGCTTTAGTTTTGTAACGATAAGGTTTTTCACTGGAAGCTCCCCCTCCCCATATAACAGGTTTTTATTATGAATGATCCTATAAACAGTAATTCTGTGGTATTTTGTGCATTTAGAGTGATCTACCCTTAGATGTATAAAAATCAAATAAATGGAAATTTTCAAAGGTGAAGTTTATTGAGACCAATATTTAACCTTTGGGAACATGCGTACAAAGAACATAGAGACTAATACACAAAATAAAAAAGCCAAAATCAGTAGCAGCAACATTCTTTTTTTCCAAAGATCATTTTCATATTACTATGGCACATCACATGTTTCAGTAAACATTCAAAAATAATCATTTGTCTTTTTGTTATTTTTTGGCATTCTTTTTTTTCCCAGTTATGTTAAATTTCTGTGTAGATGCATGGAGCTTTTAAATTATCAGTATGATGAGCACAGACTCGGTAGGCACAATAAACTTTTGATCTGCACATTGTCACTGCTTCCACAGCTGTACATGTAACAAACACCTGGTGAGTGAGGAAAACAAGCACTTGTGATTTAAATACTAGTATCTTCTGAAAAGCATTCAAGTAATACTGTGTTTCTGTGGGTCATCATAAGGACACCAAAAGCACTTTGTTTACATTGTTGACGTCCACTTGATTCTGAACTGCATTTGGATATTCAACAAGACAAAATTAACATACTTTCCAAACATTTGAACAGTTTCTGATGATTGACACCAATCGACAGTATCACCCTGTCAAACGAATCCATTTTTTGATTTGCCAATCAATGCTTTGACTGCATAACTTACCATAACATACCATGTGTACTTGGAATAGAAGTCCACCACCATGCATATTTAACTCACAATCTATATATATATATATATATATATATATATATATATATATATATATATATATATATATATATATATATATATATATATATATATATAATTTAACCACGTACTAGATCAAACATCCGAGTATCAAATACTAAAATCGGTCCTCAGTTACTGGGATGTATATATATATATTTTTCTCATATTTCAAAGTGCAAATAATTTTTAGCTCACCTGAGCTGAAAGCTCAAGTGAGCTTTTCTGATCATCCGTCGTCCGTCCGTCCGTCTGTCCATCTGTCCGTCCGTCCGTCTGTAAACTTTTCACATTTTCAACTTCTTCTCAAGAACCACTGGGCCAATTATAACCAAACTTGGTACAAAGTATCCTTGGGTGAAGGGGAGTTTAAATTGTTAAAATAAAGGGCCATGTCCCCTTGTAAGGGGAGATAATCAAGAAAAAACAAAAATAGGGTGGGGTCATTAAAAAATCTTCTTCTCAAGAACCACTGAGCCAGAAAAGCTGAAACTTATGTGGAAGCATCCTGGCGTAGTGTAGATTCTAAATTGTTCAAATCATGGCCCCCGGGGATAGGGCGAGGCCACAATAGGTATTACAAAGGGGGAAGTCTGGTAATGAACAGCATGGCCAAAGTTACTCAGGTGAGGGATGTGGCCCATGGGCCTCTTGTTAAAAACTTTGATGATTGAGTACCTGGGGTTATACATTTACATATATATATAAATATATATATATATATATATATATAATATATATATATATATATATATATATATATATATATATATATATATATATATATATATATATATATATATATATATATATATATATATATTCTATTGATGAGTTCAGTTTCTTAGAATAGAAAAATAATTATAAAATACTCAGAATCAAATTTGAATGTAATAATTGTGAAAAATTTATAATGGTATTGTGATTTTTCATGTTTCCATTTTTATTTTGTTTGTAGAGAAAGAGTGAATTGACAACCTCAAATGAAAAGTACACAAGAACTAGGAGACCAAAAATTCGAGTAGGATGGCGCCACTTCAAAAATGACAGCTTCAAACAAGTATTCTTTAAAGATGGAGGGGGTGTCCGTGAGGTTTTATTGCCATCACTTGAGCTTGAAGTAAATGATGTCATTCAAATAGCAAAAGAGGTAATGTTTCCTAGAGGGGAGTGTAAGTATGGTAGCATTAGTCAGATGCAAGTATGGCTGGGGGACTATGCTGGAGAAAAGTTAAGGAATTTCGAAATTCAGGGAGATGACAAAAAGGGAGAAGATAAACAATGTCTCGGAAAGTACTTAAAAGCCCAAGGACTCCATCTTTCAAGATGCACATTTTACTTGATGACGAGAGAAAAGAATTCCTCATCAGCCAACAATACTTTAACCCTCTTCTCCGCAGTCACGCATTTTAACGCATACGCCATTTCCTATTTCTAACGCAAAATCACGCATATACCGTTTCCCCGCAATCACGCACTTTCCACGCTCTTTCAAAAGTAAATTTAATCTTCAATTTAATGCCAATTCCCTTCTAATTTATACTTGCTAAAATCTCATAAAATAAGAAAAGTTATAATCTTATTAAAATATTAAGTCATAATTATTTACGCTAAACTTTAGAGAAACTTGTACCTCGCTATAAAGTGCTTGCGGGGAAAAGGTAACTCATATTTTTATGACGTGAACATTAAGTGTATGTTGCGTCACAGTTCAGTAAGTTGTAAAGAGTTAACCATCGATCAGGAAAGTTCATCTTCAAAACATTTTGGCATCATTGACAACCAGAAAAGGAGTAAAGAAGATGAGCCTAGTGAGCATCAGTTCGTACCAATTAATTTTGCTGGCATTGTCTGTGAAAAACAAATCATAAATATTCAGTATGTGCAAGAAAATTTTTCCAAGTATGACAGTGAAAAAAGTTTAATAAAATGTCATTCAATTTCACAGTGCCAAAATATTACATCTTTTACTGAATATGTGGATGATGATGACGACTACAATCCTTGTTTGTATGGATTTTTTATAAGCAGAATCAGAATAGGTCAGAAGTGTTTTTTAGATTGCATGTTTGAAAGACACAATGGGATATTGGAAAAGGATATAAAATTCCCATCATCTAACAAAACTGCAAATTTTGAAGGCATCATTATTCATGAGCCAATGGAGATCTGGGGCTATGATGGAGATAAATTTGTGCTAGGAATTGTAGCTGTCCCTGCGGAAAATGCCAAATATGAGTGGTTTAAAGACAACATCCCAGTTAATAGAGGGGAAAGCTGTATTTACATTGTGAAGGAACCTGGAATGTATGCATGCCAAGTGTCATATGCTGATGTAAAGCAGATGTCAAAACCTATTCAAATAATTGAGGTCTCAGAATGTGCAAGTAAGACCTATGAAGACAAAGATGTGGTATCTGCAGAAGTTGTTCAAACAAGGAATGTTTCATTGACCAAGTCTACTGATACATGTGTTTCAGGGAACATTACAGGAACAAATAAGGCTGAGAAAGATTCCTCTTTAAATAGAAGACAAGAGGCACTTGGAAAAGAGAAATCTTCATGTTTTGCTGCTCCAGAAGTAAAAGTAGATGACTTGAACATAGACTATTCAACTACATTAGGGTCTGGAGCATTTGGAACTGTGTACAAGGGAAAATGGGCAGGATCAGTTGTTGCCGTAAAAGCACTGACAGTTACGAAAAGGAATCCCAACACAATGCTTGAAATGGTTGAAAAGGAGATCCATATCAGTTCAAAGATCTGTCATCCAAACATTGTTCTATTCCTGGCTGTAGCTAGAGCACCAGCTACAATTTATCTTGTTCATGAATATATTGATGGCTGTAATATGGAAGATGCTATTTTTGATCAGGAAACAAAGCAGCTAATGGACATTAAACCTGAGCACAAATTGTTTATTCTTCGTCAGTGTGTACAGGGTGTGGCATATTTGCATGCTCTGGTCCCTCCTGTTATTCACCAAGATATAAAACCTAGCAACATCATGATAAAAAAGATCTGCCATACAACCAAGCTTTGCGACCTAGGAGTTAGCCGGATCAAATCAGTTAGAGCTGCTAGTATGTGTACTACTCAAATGGGCACCGCCTTTGGAACACCTTCCTATATGGCTCCAGAGTGTTTACTTCATAATGAAAAAACTTGCATTAGCTCAGACATTTGGTCACTTGGTGTCACCTTAATTGAATTTGCTATGGAGCAGGATGCATGGGAAGTTGATGCAGAACTAGATGCAGTTGATGCTGTTAAAAGAAAAATGGAAAGAAAAAATCCCCCCATACCAAATGTTGATGCAATTCAGGTGTGCCAAACGTAGTGATGGATGTTTTGAAAAGATGTATTAGTTATGAAAAAATCTTGCGCCCAACAGCAGAGGAGATGTTACAATTGTTTTCAGGCTAAATTTAACTTTGAAATTTTAGATGTTCAGGAAAAAAGGAAAAGAACAAAAATCAGTTTGTTTCAATGAGTTTATAAGAGATTATTTGGTGGGGAGGAGGGGGGTTAATTGGTAATATTTCTGACTGAAGGGTGTCTATGTTCATGTGTCATCTGTCTCGCATTTTAGACCTCTCCAGAACCAAGCGACCCATTTTAACCAAGGTTTTTTTTCCAAGTTAAGGGCCTTACCCTTTTTCAAGATGAGATAATTAAGAAATGGTCATGATATGGTGGGTTCATTTTAAAATCTTCTTTAGAACCATTGGGTCATAGAGGATTCTTAAGTAATGCAAATTTATATTTTTTCTAAAAGGTTTTTTTAATTTAAAAAAAAAAAACAGCAGGGTAAAGGTGATTCTATAAACATTGTGGCACATGGGCCTCTTGTTTCATATTATGAATGAATATTTCTTTTATGAGATTTGCATGAAAACAAAAGGTATTACAATCATTGACTATCCATTGTCATTTATATTGCTAGTGGTCTTTGAACAGTTTAAACTTCTAACCCAGATAGTTTTATCAATTTTTTTATTTTGCGTATTTTACTGGTAAAGGAAAACCACATGATTTGGATGTGGGTTGGAAGAGAAAAATTTGTTAATCTATTCAATTCATAGATAAAGGAATTGAGCCATATATATACATGTATTATCTTACTTCTCAGTATTATATATAGTCCATATTTTTTATTTACAATGGATACATGATAATACAATACTTACATGTGATCATGGTGATTACTCTTTTAGATAATTGCATGCATATAATATTTTTTATAGTAAAAAAGTTTGTATATGTACCAGTAAATAACAGGTCCTTTTATTGCTCTGGAAAAAGATGGAGATATGTTTTAATGACTTTGATATTTGAAGAAGTTTTTATTTTCATTGTTATGATTTTCTTAAGTTACCTGCTTCACTCGGGTAACCTTTTGCTAGTGTTTTATGCTGTCCTGCATCATTCATAAATTTTTAAACATTTTCATTTTTTATTTTCATCTCAATTTGCTGGAACAGTTTCTCTATCAATTGTTTATAGCATTCAGAGACACCTTGAAACAAAACTTGTGAAATTTATTTTCTTGGTTCCCCTTGGGCTTGACAAAATCATCAGGCTTGTCAAAATCATCAACATGCCTTTACATTTGATTTATCCCTGTGCCCCATGGTTCAGGCCCCAAGGTGTGATTAAGTTAGTTCTTTATTGACAATTTGTTACACTGTACTGTCTACATTTCAATTCTTTACTTATTTGGAACATTAAGTATGCAGATTATATGCTTAGTGTAAGCAAGTTTTGCTTGGAATTAAGTTGATCATTCAGACAAAATAATTATTCATTTATCTCTTAACAGATTGATTTATAAATAAGAAGTGTAAAATTAATTTCACACAAGTCCAGATATAAAGTTCCAAGTGTAATGACCAAAGTTAATTCATACAAATTAAAACTTGTGATTCTCAAAGGACCATGAAGGCCCTTGTGTGTCTCATTTTTAGCTCACCTGAACCTAGGGCTACCTTGATCCATAAATCATACTAAATAAATGTGCAACTTTATCCATGTTGTGTAGATTCAAGTTGTTTTATAGTTTTCAAATTGTGGACCCAGGGTTGAATGAAGCTAGATTTGGATTACTTTTTTTTTCAGATCAGTGAATTAACATATGGTTATTTTCGATTTTGAAGAATCTCAGGATGTGAGGTCTCATGTTTACTTAAGTCATGACTTTTTGGGGCCAGGGTGGGGAAATGTCTTTTGATAACATTCTTCTTTGGCCTGGGAACTTAAGTGTGTGTTGTGGCCCAATGGGTCTCCTGTTTTTTCTGTTTTTAAGTAACAAGAACATGTTACAATTGTTAGCAAAACTCAGACTTTGTTAAGGTTAGGCCAAATAAAAAAAAAAATATGCGTGGTTCCAGCATTATACCCTGACCATAAACATTTTCCCCGACAATTTTCAAATTTCTAAAATTTCTCAGATTCCGTCATCGGTTCGGGTATTAGTTTTAGTTTCAGCAATGGTGGCATCCTGAAAAACATTGTTTCAACACGCAGTATACAAGCGTTTTTTCACTTACTTCTAACAAATGTCACCACTTGAAAGAAAGCAAGAGTATTAGCACAACAATATTTAATTCAAGAACATTCAACGATATTTTTGGCGTTTATTTGAAGAAATAAAATAATTTTTTTAAAAAAAATCCCTACCTACCTACCCTAATTTTTTTGGCGGTGTAACAGGGTCCACGCATTTTTTTTTTCTTGGCCTTCACTTTAATTTCCACCTGCCAAGTGTCTGCTTTCATTTGATTACAATAAATTGTGAAATTATAATAGACTTATGGAGTTATATTTTATTATTTATTAATAAATTACACACTTTTTTAAACTATCAGTATTTCTTTAAAAGGACTATACCTTTAAACGTTAAAGTTATCCTTTCAAAGGAATTGTTCTTGGGAAGGAAATACATAGCTATTGAACACATTAAAATTTTAAATGACAGTATGATGAAACTTATGCAGTGTATCGATTAAATATTGTTATGAACTGACCAAAAAGATCAGCTGCTTCGTTTATACTTGATGGTCTATGGTGATCTGGCAAAATTAAGTTTGCAAGTTCTAAGAATTCTGCTGAACAGCCATGCATTGGGCGGTCTTCCCCATAGTGTTCTTGACAGTAAATTATGTCCTCAGGATGGCAGTCGATTTTAAAATCTTCAACACCGTATGATTCTGGAGTAAAAAATAATACATCAAGCTTTCCTTTTGGACTACTATGTTGTTTTTTAACTTGCATTCTATGTTGATTCCATTGTATTACAATTTGATGAAGTTCCTCCTGAAGAACATCCATAAAGCAGTATCTTAAACACTCGACGTGCAGGTGGTCACCATCATTAAAAAGGTTCGCATCTCGTAAATCTTTAAAGAATGTGATCCACCAGTCTGCCGCTTGCCGGCGTAAAATGCTCCACCAGGCCTCAATTCGTTGATTAGAAGTGCTTTTTCCGTATATAAAGCAATTGCCATAATCCTGGTCTTTAAGACTGTGGAACAGTACTTGTATTTCTTCCAACTCCTTGTTTTCCGTGCCGAGGTCACATCTACATACATTTGGACAACATCCTAACTGTTGCACAGTCTCTAAAAAATATCGAGAAACAATTTTAGGGTTGTTGTTGCTGGGTCCCACCTCCAACCACAAAATTCTTCGGGAGAAGCCATCAATTGCGCCATGTATTGCAAACCCGTAAGGTTTCAACTTGTCGTATCCGTCAATGTGCCAAATGAAATTTGGTCCAGGTGCCTCATACTGTCGCCTAAGTAATCGTCGCTGTTTCCGTCGTTCTACTCCCTCTGAATCTATTACTCGCATAAGTTCCATGACTTTTGCACGCTGAATTACGAAACCGTAATCGGTGATTAAACGTTTCCAAATTGTTCGGTACCCTAGACATCGTCCACTATTTTCTGTAATGTCCAAAATTGCATTCACAATATTTAAAATAGTCAACATCATTAGGACGTCGCTTCAACCCTTTATTTCGCAATATGCGTTTCAGATGAGATTTGCTTATTTTTGCTTTATGAACTGTTCTGATCAGTTGTAAAATCTCTGTATTGGTGTACCCTTGTCGAAAATATCTTTTAATAAGTTCTTCCTTGGGAATATTATTAGGAATCAGTGCCGGTGTGTATCTCGGCAACACCATAATGGTCTGAAAATACAGTATTTCAGTTTTAATCCTCTACTGTAATCCTCCAAACATACTACTTACATGTACTGTTATTTCTAGGTGGGTGGTTCTAATTTTAGAATTTCAATTAAGAAACATTTTCAATGAAGAATTTATTATTTATATTTTGTTCCAAGCAAATTCAAAGCGGGGAGGAGAATGCAAAAAATAGAATAGAGGAGAGACAAACAGGCCAACAGTTTGAGTGTATGGCCAAATATTTACGGACTAAATGTCGCAGCGTTGCACCTATTCATTTTTTTCAGAATGATACTTTTGCATATTTATTACAATTTCAATGAGGTACAATGCAGTAATGCAAAAAGAAACATCATTTGCTTCGGGGTGCATGCGCAGATCTAGATCCCCCCCCCCTCCTAAAATTTGCAGAGTTATAAAATGTATATACTAAACCAATTAAAAGTGGCCATAGACCCCCCCCCCCCCTAGAAAACGCGCCCCCCGAAAACGCGGATCTGTGTTAAGTTGAAAAGTCATAGGTATGAAGCTTTAATAGTCAACGACAAATTCCCTCCCCCCTCACTGCCATGAAATAGGCTTTTCACGTTTTTTTCCTGTTGTTTTGTTTTGTTTTGTTTTTTTCCTTATCAAGAAATTTCTGGGTTTGAATTTTTTTGCTTATCAAGAAATTTCTGGGTTTGAATTTTTTTTTTTTTGACTGGGGTGGACCCCCCCCCCCCTTTGAAAAAATCCTTGAACCGCGCCTGGGGTAGAGTGTGTCATCTGTTAGTATATCCTCAATTCCATTTCAATTCAAGGTGAATTATTTGATCAAAAATGTTATTCAAGAAAGTGCTGGATAAATATTTGATTGAATATATGTAGAACTACGTGTTTGATGGGCAAAAATATGAGGGTTTGTGCAAGCTTCCCCCCCCCCCCCCCGCCCGCTCTTCCGGCGGTTTCTACGGACCAGGCTGCATGCAGATAACTACATACCAAAATACATCTTTTGTTATCCGGAGTTCATAATTATACCCAGCGACAGCTGTAGATACATTTAATTTACCAGGACACGTGTTTGAATCTTTGATTTATAATCTAACATAGGAAGTTTACTGAACGTATCCCTAATGTCTACTGTAAAATTTTTATACACAATTCGAATACAAAGGCTCAGTTAAAAGAAGAGCACTGTCTTTGACTAGTTTCTATGACATTCAAAGTATTTGCAACATCTACCATCTTACCTTAAAATTAATATGGCCACTTTTTTATATTTATTAAATAA